TGTATCGCGCTTGACCAAGCCTGAAACTACAAGTAAGCTTCAAGTGAAATTGATACATTACCTTGTGCATCTCCACCAGTTAAAGATACCACCCCTGGATGGAGGAAGAGTACTTCCAGAGAAGATGCCACATCTACCTATGAGACAGATAAGGCAAGTCAAGACGACACCACACTCCGATACTTAGAAGTTTCGTGATTACGAGATCATTCTCCCACAATATTTCCTAATGTCATTTGTACTAAATCATTCACTTGTACTCACTAAAGGAGAGCTTGAACCTATGTACTTGTGTAAACCCTTCACAATTAATGAGAACTCTTCTATTCCGTGGACGTAGCCAATCTGGGTGAACCACGTACATCTTGTGTTTGCTTTCCTATCTCTATCCATTTATATACTTATCCACACTAATGACCGGAGCAATCTAGCGAAGATCACAAAAAGCGACCGTTTTCGCTACCTAGGATCTATCTTGCAAGAGAAACGGAGAATTAGATGGAGATCTCAACCATAGAATACGAGCTGGATGGATGAAGTGTAAGAGTGCATCCGGCGTGTTGTGTGACCGTCGTAGGCCACTGAAGCTCAAGGGAAAATTTTATAGGACGGCAATAAGGCCAGCGATGTTGTATGGCACAGAATGTTGGGCGGTGAAGCATCAACACGTACACAAAATGGGTGTAGCGGAGATGAGGATGCTTCGTGGGATGTGTGGGCACACGAGAAATGATAAGATTGGGAATGAGGATATCCGAGGTAAAGTAGGAGTAGCCGAAATTGTAGGAAAGATGAGAGAAAATCGGCTCCGATGATTTGGACATGTGCAAAGAAGGCCGACTGACGCTCCGGTTCGAAGATGTGACTACGGGACAGAGGTTCAGGGCCAAAGGGGTAGAGGAAGACCTAGGAAAACTTTGGAAGAGACTCTAAGAAAAGACTTAGAGTACTTGGATCTAACGGAGGACATGACACAAAACCGAGCGCAATGGCGTTCTAGGATTCATATAGCCGACCCCACTTAGTGGGAAAAGGCTTTGTTGTTGTTGTTGTTGTTGTTGTAATCTTTAATTTTTGTTTTCTTCTCTGAACCAAAATCTTGAAATTTCCTTGAATAATAATTTGATTGAATCACATCCTGACTGTCCAACTTAAAGTTTGCTTAAGAGCCACAGTATCTACCTGCAAAATCGTCGGAGAGCCTAACAGAAAAGAACCTGCAGAATTGTAATAAATCCCACAAGAATTTCGAATTACAAAAACATACATCAAGCTTACAATTATTCTAACACTACTTTACATAATTATTTGATGGTTCTAACCATATGTTTCCGAGTGCGTGTATGTACGTTTCTATACAAATTTAGTGATTGAAATAATAAAGTACAGTAAATGGTATTTACAACATAATATAAGATCATTATATCGTACTCATAAAAAAATGTGGTCAACGTAGAAAATCATTAGTAGAAAATTTTGTTGTGTAGGAAATAGGAAATCCGGTCATAAAGTTTGGGGATTGTTGGGGTCTATTTTGCTAATAAAAATAATAAAGCTACAACTTATATGCATAAATACATATATATGACAGTTCAACTATATATCATACATGCTACCAAATATATATATATATATATATATATGTATGTATGTATGTATGTTGCTGTAATATTAATTTTCATTTTCATTTCAATTCCACGAGCTTAAAAATTCGAATAAGAAATGACTAGCTAGCTTCAACACCGTGCAATATTGGAAAGAACATATATATGATTGGATATTCTGGTCGTTGAGGTGATCATGAACTCTCAACTGCTACAGTTTTCATGGATGTGCCTCTCACCCGCACTTACAAGCAAATCAAGTAATGCCATCACATTACCTATTTTCTCCTTCTACCCAAACTACCAGCCTGTTCATTCATATATATCATACCTAATTAAACAACCATTATACTCCACCTGTCTGTACCTTAAATTAAATGCACGAATTTGATTTAATTTATACCCCATTTTATAATTGTTGGCACAGAAAATATGGTTTTATAGGTAAGCTAAGTAGCTATCTGGCTTGCTGCATGAAGTTCTCTTCCCTTCTGGGGAAGGCATATGTATATAGTTTTTGCAGTACGTATTTGCATGACAGTAACAAATAAGTAGATAGCAAAGTAAAATATAAAATATATGTAAAGTGCCTTGCAAGGTATACGTGCGATACTTGTTATCTAATTATTGATTTGTGACATCTGTCAGTGCCAAAGTTGATTAGCTAGGCGGGGACATAGATTGGATCAAATTCATTCTAATTATTTATGACGATATGAATATAGAAACCAAAGAACACGTAGCTTGCTAGGGTTAGATTATGGAAGGCTTTGATTATTCCACTTGTAATAATCTAAGCCTTCCATATTATATCAAGTTCTAAGACAACATGTAGCTAGCTAGGGTTTGTGTTTCTTTAGACATTTTATGTAGTGTTTGATGTGTTAACAATTAGTCATAATAATTGATGTAAGTAGTACACGTTAATTGTCATATGATCAGTGCATGTACTTTATTCTTTGGTCGGGTTGGCACGTAATTTTAGTATGGACAACTCTCAAGTTGATATTAGAGTTTAGTTAGCAGAATGATCGTACGACAAATATAAACTGTAAACCGAAATATTAATTAGTTAATAAATTGTTCCTCTTTTGTATACACCAACTTCTAATTTTGCTCAAACATAATATAGTAAGGAAGGACTTATCCTACATATCCCATGAAAAAAAAATAAAAAAATTGTGGTCAGGAATATATATGGCCCCTCTCCTTTAGCATTGTGATTTCGTGACCACACATGCAATGTGATCAAGGGTCCACTTTTGAACTATATGGCACCTAAGGCAAGAGCTATAAGTCAAGGACCAACAGATCGGATAATTAACTACCCCCAATCTATATAGCTAAATGTTAAACATGAAAACGTAAGAGATTGACCATTTATCAGAAAACCCTTACATCATAAGGTCAAGCTTTTGAATCAAATGTTTTCATAGACACATCCCTATGGTGTTACCACATTAACTTTACACGATATTTGCTAAATGAACTAAGTTGGTACCAGATGTCGGATATTATCTTCCATCAGATTGCGGCAACTAAAACCACATAAGTCGTCAAAGAACCAAGTTCTTTAACCAATGAGTTAACACAGACTTGGATTTGGTAATTGAACAATATTCTCAAGCGAAACATACGTGGCACTTTTGTAGCACTTAGTAGTACGTGTTGGCATAAACATATACTTGATCACCTACACATGGTCCGTGTCGAAAATAGTAAACCATTTCTTGCGAGTTGTGAGCTGTTTTACTAAGATCTGCACGCATATATACGGGCTTGTTAATGTGTTGGCACATGCATGCATGCATGCTTAGTTATCAACGACATTAATATCTAGGGTTTAGAGATTGGATGATTGCCAGGGGGTGATGAGGCTTCAGGTGCATGCAGTTAACGAATTGAAATATAACTTAGTAGAAATTTGTAATAATGCTAAGTAGTTGTTTATATGTAGAGCGGCTCTGAAAGTATGTCTAGTTCAAACCATGGTGAGAAAGTGTGATATGGCAAAGGAGTACGGATCAACAAAATTATTAATACTATATTTACTTATTGTACTAATAATAAATCTCTCACATATATAGGTGATGCTTATGTGTACATACAAAGAAAGTCAAATGCGTGCATTGACAAAATGTTGATGATGGTTTTCTTAGTTACTTCACCAAAAAATATTTTACATGTACACATATATGCAATTATTTTATACTGATTAACTGAATATGTAGATAAAAATATCGACGGCTATGCCACATATCAACAACTATATGTTCGCAATATTAATGATTGATTAAATCAGCGACACACCGAAAGCGCATCTGCATTTCAAAAAATATAGTTTACCGCAACATAGAAAATCTGCATAGAATACAGACACATATACATGTATAGAGTGATTTTGTGTATATGTATTCAATCATATATATAGTACGTATTACATACATATATTAATTCAAGCACATATACAAATTTATACAGTTTTTCTTTAATTTAAACTTTTGGTGCTTTCAATTCAAGGGTGAAAATTCGTTGCTTTAAACATAGTCTACTGAGTGATATATTCAACCCAAATTCAAGGAAATGCTAGAGATTTCCATGCCAGTTGCTGCAATTCTTTAATTGGGTAGTTGAATGAACATGCACATGGAAAAGGCTAGGGCCTCATTATGGGTTCTTTAACTAGAGCCACTTGCCAAAGTCACAAAACAAACTTGAAGAAGAAGATGACACAACTCAATACACGCATTTAATTAGGTGAATAAACATGATTTCGTCGACATAATCAAACCCATCTGAGTGCTTAATTTCCCTTATTAACAAAATCAGAAATTAAAACAAACCTTATTAAATATTCATCTACTTATCAAGCGCTTCATGTTGTTATTGTAAAGCAAGATTAATTTGGCTTAAAACTTACAAGAGCAACACTGGATCATACTCCTTCAAGATAAGGACACGTAAGCGTGGTGATGACGAAATGGATGATGGAATGGTGGAGTAAGAGTGCAATCAAAGGGCAGTGGGTTTGTGTAGGAAAATAGGAAGAAAATATTTGGATGCTTATTACATGTAAAGCAAATCTCTCTCACTCTCTCTCTCTCTCTCTATCTCTCTCTCTCTCTCTCTCTCTCTCTCTCTCTCTCTCTCTCTCTCTCTCTCTCTCTCTCTCTGTGCCTTTAGGTCACCTATCTTTCACCATCACCCATTTTCTGAAGCCAGACACACCTGAACACAATGTAGTTCCCACATGCCTTTCACAACCCAATGGTGGACCCTAAAATCTATCTCTAGAATATTATAATTTGTGTATGTGCGAATTTGATAAATTAATTTTATTGGACATGACATGAGGCGGGGGAAAGGTGAGGACTGAGGACTTTATATAAATGTGGGGGTGGGGCTTTTGGGTCTTTAGGGCTTTTACTGGTAGCGTTGGTGAGCCTAATTGAGTAGTTTGTTGGTGCTTGCTAGCTAGTCAGAGTACTTGTTTGTACATTGGTGGTGTTTGTTTAATTAGTACTAGACTAGTAGTATGGGAAGGCAACCGTGTTGTGACAAACTTGGGGTAAAGAAAGGGCCATGGACTGCTGAGGAGGACAAGAAGCTCATCAGCTTTATTATCACCAATGGCCAGTGTTGTTGGAGGGCTGTGCCTAAACTCGCTGGCCTTCGCCGGTGTGGTAAGAGTTGCAGGCTCCGTTGGACGAATTATCTCCGCCCCGACTTGAAGAGAGGCCTTCTCACTGAAGCTGAAGAACAGTTGGTTATCGATCTCCACGCTCGTCTTGGAAATAGGTCACCCTTTAATATTCATGTTTCTGTGTGCATGATTCATATACATGTACATATCAATCATTCATTACATTTGTGTTTGGGAGCATGGATCCGTACATGTTAATGGTTTTATTAAATAATGGTGGTTGGTGGTGAAAAAGGTTGTTTCACCTTCATCTTAATTTTAGTGTATATTATAAAAGATGTCAATATTTCTTCTTCTTCTTTTTCTTCTTTCTTGAGTTACAAGCTTGGTTTCAAACTTTCTTTTCTCCATAAAGCTGAAAATGTGACTGTGGAATTAATGTGTTCAACAAGACAAAGAAATTAAGGTTGGCACGTTTAAGAGAAATGACCTTCAATTTCTTGGTTTCGATTTTGTTTTTTTTTTTTACGTGTATCATATTTACTAACCATATTATGGATCACATCTCTGACATAGGAATGTATGCATTAGTTCTAACGTCTTCATAGCATATTGTATGCATAAGGCTCAAGAGTATTTTACCCCTCAAGATTTTGCTTCCTTATAAGTTTAAGTTTACTCTAGTGCTAATTACATGCATCCTATGTTAATTAGTTGGTAACTTATGAGAAGCATTAAGCTTATGATCACTAATACAAGTTTACTAACTAATATATATGGTTTTCTGCTTGTTTTGGACATATAGGTGGTCCAAGATTGCAGGCAGATTGCCAGGGAGAACAGATAATGAGATCAAGAATCATTGGAACACCCATATCAAGAAAAAGCTGCTTAGGATGGGAATTGATCCTGTCACACATGAACCCCTTCACAAAGAAGAAGAGTTGCCGTCCAATATTAAGGGAACTAACTCATCATCATCATCTTCCCATGATCATGATGATCATAACAATAATTTGCCAGCTGATCAGTCTACAAATGATCTTCACAATTCACAAGAAAATGATCAAAGCGTGGTGAATTCATCAGGATCGGAGGACATAAACTCATCAACCGAAAACTCCTCCACAGGCGCTGAATCGGCGTTGTTAGACAACATTTGCAATGACGATTCGTTAATGAACAGCCTGTGGATGGATGAAACACCTCTGATTGATGCATTGTGGAACGACAACAATCAAGTAGAACTTGATCAAGGAGGGATCGATTACAATATCATTGAGAATAATGGAATGGGATTCCAATCTAATTGGGAGGACAATTGTGCATGGCTTTTGGACTGCCAAGACTTTGGTATTCATGATTTTGGTATGGATTGCTTCAATGATGTGGAAGTAAATGGTAACAAAACACTAGAGGTGGGGGGAAAATTAAGCACTAAAATAAATTAATTAAATAGAAAGCATGCAGTTAATCTTTATTAATGTATTAGTGAAGAGAGAGTAGTAGTCAAAATTCAAATGTGCTAACATGTTACAAAGTACCATGTCTGCTGCCTCACTTTTTATTAAGTTCTTGGTGTTGAATTTTATCTATTACGTTATACAATATTCTTGGAAGGTCGAGGATTAGACCCGCTTCTTAAGAGGTTTTCTCACCAACCAAAGAAACAGCGATACCAATTACCTAATAAAATGTACATGTTGTGATATATCTTACGTAAAAGTATATGTTAGGGAGTTGGATAATATTGTAAAAGTATTCGTAGTACTGCTGGGTTTTGCTAAGATGAAACTTCTGTACATCAATTATGTTCTTCAATATTTATGCTGAAATTAAATAAAACAAAAGGTTAATTTATTACATTCGATTGTGTTTGTTTATAGACTAGAGATTTTATTTTATCTAAATAAAATAGAAGATTGGGCGAAATTAAAAAGTGAGTTCATATGTACTACATCCATATATGAGAACTGAATTATAAATTTGCATATGAACCATGCATGCTTAATTTGAGATAAATCATGCACAATCGCCACAAGTAATACATGATGGGAAAAAAAAGGAGGAAAAATCATTCATCCTATTCCCAAATTAATATGTTAATTAGCCTTTGCAAAGAATGTGAATGGATCCAGACCCTTGATCTGTCCTGCATCATGAATTTTCTTTTCTGTGTTTTGGTGCTAAAAACTAAAATGAAGGTGTTTACATAGCATGCCACCACTACACTTTAGGGTTTAGAGTTTATAGCTGAAATCCAATTAGCCACTTCCCAAGTGGCCAGAAAATCATGTCGATATATGATAAAATCCTGAGCACACCTTTGCAGTGTTACAATCAGCTAGGTTTTGATAAATTATACGGAGATGATAAAACTTGAGTGCGCACTAGTCAATTTATTCATTGGAGTTCCCTTTTAAAGCATTGTCACCCTATCATCATTGAGAAGATCTTCAAGGGGAAAAAAGAAGGAATAAGTAAAAAAAATACACAATGTTATGAGATATTTTTCTATGTACCTGAAATACGAGTCGGTACACTATATGTTATAAAAAAATTCTCAAAACTAAAACCCTTTAGGTTGATTATTTCAAAAGTTACTTAATATACCTTAGCTAGTTTTTATTTCAAGCAGACATAATAATTTTGTACTTTTTATGCTGCCATATATGCACCTTAATGTATTTGGTAATAAGCATTCAATTTAAAGACATGTTTATTGAAATAAGATCTTCTTCTTAATATTGTATAGGGTATTATGTTAATGTTAGAGAGAACTAAATAGAATATAAGTGTAGGATTTGAAAATAAAAAAGAACAATACTTCCGGGTTCTTCGACAAGACGAAAAAAAAAGGGTCTCGTTTTCAAGAAGTTCATTAATTGATGTGACATGCACATCACTTGCCACATAAATGTGGTACAAAAATATGATATCTCTAACATTTTCCGAATCAAAATGATTCACAACTTTTAGCCCCTGGATTACCGAATATAGTACTCTACACACACACACACACACACCATATATATCTGTATTACCATGTAATTAGATTGCTGTACGTACATAATAGATTATGATTAAGACTGGTCATCTTTTTTATATAACAAAATTAGATTGGTCTTATCTATCACCACTCATGACTAGGGAGATAGCTAACGATTACTCCTTACATTCAACATAAGCACTTGTCATTAAGCGCTAATCATCATATGTTTTAGACCTGATTGAAAACACGAAACACACATGTCTGTGTATCCCATTTCAACAAGTTGGTATTTACAAGAATTTACAATATATCTCTTACATAATCATGATGTCAACGTGAATCAGTTTCTTGAGAAACAAGTTAAAGTGAATATAACGCTAGTATAGTAAAAGTAATCATACCATCAGTATATGGGGAGAGCCACCTATAGGTTTGAAGTGGTAGTAATCAAAAAGTCTTGCAAGAAGTTTTATAAGAAGTTGGTTCTTCTCATTAATTTTGGAGTGGAATTTTAACTTTATGGTATCTGTTTAGGTTAACTTACGTGTGAAATTTATAATTATATAGGGTTTATATTATTCGGTTAAATTATTTGTGTGTTAAGTCTAGCTTGAAATTTCATCACAAATAAGGCATGTGAGGAATTGGAAAATCATCTTACTTCAAAAACTTACGAAACCTTGCACAATTATAAGGAATAGAGCCACTTTTATCAACAGAAGTAGAAAAGGAGATCATCTCTAATTAAGAGAATTGAGAATATATATACTAATGTGAATGGGAAGAAAATAGTTCGCACCCATGATGCCACAACAAATAATTAAATAATTAAAATACACATCAAAGTGTAAAAACAAAAGGGAGATACAAGCGCGAAGGAGATCATCTCTAATTAACAGAATTGAGAATATATATACCAATGTGAATGTGATGAAAATAGTTCGCATGGGTTTATATTATTCGGTTAAATTATTTATGTGTTAAGTTTAGCTTGAAATTTCATCACAAATGAGGCATGTGAGGACATGGAAAATCATCTTACTTCAAAAACTTACGAAACCTTGCACAATTATAAGGAATTGAGCCACTTTTCTCATCAGAAGTAGAAAAGGAGATCATCTCTAATTAAGAGAATTGAGAATATATATACTAATGTGAATGTGAAGAAAATAGTTCGCACCCATGATGCCACAACAAATAATTAAATAATTAAAATACACATCAAATTGTAAAAACAAAAGGGAGATACAAGCGCAAAGGAGATCATCTCTAATTAACAGAGGGCTTGTTTGGATGTGTTTTTAAAATGACTGAAAGCGCTTTTAATGAAAATATTTTTTAAAATAATCTTTAGTAAAAATAGTAGTAAATCCTAAAAAAGCACCTAAAGTGTTTCCTGGAAGAAACACATAACTGGTGCTTCTTATAAAAAACACTTAAAGTGCTTTTGAAACCCAAAAACATGTTCTATAAAAGCGCTTTCAGTCATTTTAAAAGCACATCCAAACAAGTCCAGAATTGAGAATATATATACCAATGTGAATGTGATGAAAATAGTTCGCATCCATGATGCCACAACAAATAATTAAATAATTTAAATACACATCAAAGTGTAAAAACAAAAAGGAAATACAAGCGAGGCGAGAGAGACCCAACACCTAAGAATCTCATCAATCCTCATCGATCGATCGAGTGCTCATGGTCATGGTGGCCGGCCTCAACAAGGAATGATTGTTTAGTGGAAAGCTCAATCACTTGTGGTGTTGTTAAATTGAAAAAAGGACCATGTTTTCAAGTGCCCCCTACGTGATGCTTGAATATTTTTGGTGACTTTGAAAAACGAGGTAACTCGTGTGGCCTATAAAATTAGCTTATATGTAGGAGGATAAAGTCATAAGTGAGCTCCTTTGATGTGTACATAAGACCACCTAAAGTTCAAAGCAATTGGATGATCAAAATGTGAGAATACGTAGTTTGACTTCAATGGCAAATCCTATACACAATGATTGTGTGATGAAAATTATAACCAAAAAGCATTGACTCTTACATCTGATATCTTAAGGGCCTGTTTGGTATCATATTACAAAATTTTCATCATTTCACAAAACAATTTTTAAGAACATTTCTTGAGAACAATTTTCTTTATAATTCAAAAACTTGTTTGGTATGAAATTCACAACAATTTTCTTTATAATTCAAAAACTTGTTTGGTATGAAATTCACAATTATTTTTCAAGAAATAAAATGTCATCCTACACCAAAAACTTCTAAATTCAACAGAGGGAAAGATGAGAGAGCATCAGAGGAGAGGAGAGAGCAGAAAGAAAAAGGAGAGATGATCAGAGGAGAGAGATACAAAGAAAGAGAAGGAGAAAAAGCAAAGGGAAATTGGGGAGGGTAAGGAGAGGGAAGATTGGAGAGGAGAGAGAAATAATAGAGTTAGAAGATAAGGAATTAGGTGTGAGAGGAAAGGGAAAAGAGAAAGATGGTGCTTTAAATTTAAAAACTCTTGTTTTTAAGAAAAAGGCTAATTTTTAAATTAGTTTTGAGTCCAATTTTTAATGAGTCCTACCAAACAAGTTTTTTTTGTCAAATACCAAACAAGTTTTCAACACTTAAAAACTTAAAAAGTGTTTTTGAGTTTAAAAAGTTAGATTCAAGTAAATTACCAACAAGCCCTAACATATTCTCCTCTTTTTCAATATCGCTTATATATAAAATAAAAAAATTTTAAAAAAAAGTATTAGACATGAACAAAAATGGGTTTAGTTGAAAATAATAATTTTAAGTTAATCGTAATTAGCCTTTCATGCTTACACAATTTATTAAAAAACACTCTAAATACCCATTTTGAATATTCAACAAGCCTAAACTAATTTAAGTTCCATACAAACACTATAAATCATAGCTGTTTCTTTTTCTTCTATAGTTGGATTTTTTTTCTCAATTTTAACCTTGAATTATTAATTTATAATATACCAAAAAGGTGGTATTACTAATTAGGGTAATTTTTTATAAAACCAATAAAATGTTATGATATTGATAATAGGGTAATTCTCACTTTATTACCCTCAAGTATCGTAAAGTTCACACTTGTTATCCTTAGGTTTTTTTTGTCTCAGTTTCATATCTAAATTTTGATTTTTCTGATACTTTAACTCTTCCATTTGTCTTTCCGTCAAGTTCTCCATTAAGTAATGATGTGAAATAACTTTGGCAAATATGGTGTGACATAACTTTCGCTAAGTGTATTTTCTGCATATGTTTGCTAGGTGTATTCCTAAGTGTCAAACAATTTTCACTGAGGGTGAGGTCTTGTCTTCCCAAAAAATTATACTCTTTTTCATCTTTTGCCTTATTCATGGGCTTTGAATGTTTATTTCATACCTAACTTTGATTTTTCTGATACTTTAATACTTCTATTAACCTCTCATTAAGTGATGACATGACATAACTTTCGATAAGTGTATTTCCTGCATATGTTTACTAAGTGTATTTCCCTTAGGTATTGAACAATTTTCGCTAAGGGCTAGGGCTTGTCTTCCTAAAAATTGTGCTCTTTTGCCCTATTCATGGGAATTTGGATGTTTATTTCATCCCTAAACTTTGACTTTTTTTTTACACTTTAATACTTTCGTTAATCTTTTTGTCAAGTTTTTCTTCATTAAGTGATGACATGGTAAAACTTTTTTTAAAAGTGTATCTTGCATATTCTTGTTAAGCGTATTTCCTTAGGTGTTGAATTTTCGCTAGGGACCAAGGCTTGTCTTCCCAAAAATTGTATCCTTTTACCCTATTTATGGGACTTTGAAAGCTTATTTCATACCTAAACTTTGATTTTTCTGACACTTTAATAATTCCTTTAATTTTTCC